TTTTTTTTCAGTGCGAATTTGCTGAGGTAACACATGTGAACAATGCACTCGGGAAAAGAGAATTATTCGTTCAATTCGAGATTTTGGATTTTAGGAATTAGTCGCGTTGGGAATGGCTTCATTTTTCAATTTTTTTTTAAAGGGATAAGTTTTTTTAATGAGTCTTATCGTATGTACCACGCGCGCCATCTTGAATGCTGCAAGCGCGTCTCAAGATGGCGGCGCTTCACCTGGCGTTTTTAATTAATTACTGAAAATAGGTATCTGAATTAAATCCCTCACAAATCATTTCATCCGATTCCTATGAAGTGAACTATTTTTTTAAGCCGCCCTGAACAAATTTTGCTTAAAGAACATTGAAAAAATATTAAAATATCTCAAATGTTTGAATTTACTCCAGCCTAATTATACCCAGAATCCTCCATCTAAAAACAGTTCCACCATAATTCTCCTGGCACCTCGATATTTCCCATAAATTAATTTTCCCACGTTATTCCTCATATAGTTATGAATAGTTCAAGCACACACAGCTAATGAAGACGAGAAGAAAAATCCAAAAGGTGATGACTAAATTCCCTGACAAATAAATCACCAATTTGTTAGTAGATTATTCACAATCTCCCCATCCCATTGAAACGCTCCCCCCAGGTTTTCATCGCAGAGGGGTGGGCCCCCCTTCGGAGAAGACGTTCAGCACACACTGGGGCATTAAATCAGCGGGGTATCTCCGAAACTACCCTATAAAAGGCCGTGCGCCTATAAAGGACAGAAAATCGATGAAAATCCAGGAGGAAGGAGTCAAATGCTTGGGGGGCGCAGGGGATAACAGGAGGAAAAGGGGGGAGGATCCGGGGGAATAATTCCGAAGGGGAAAACGTGGGCATTGTACACATACATGTGTAGCCTTTTTCAACACCGATCGATTTGCTGAATTGATACTCACAACCGTAAGGGGAGCGTTTATTTCTTTTTCCTCCATATTATGCATTCTATAAAAATATTTCCTATCATGGATTTTATTGGATTTTTCCAGTTGGAAAATAGCGATTACAATTCTTTGCTCAGAACTTCCGGTTAGAGTGCCCATTGACAACACTGGAATAATTTAACAATCAAAGAAAAATCGATTGGAAGAAAAAAATTTCACGGTATCGCATGATATCAAGAGATTTGCCGATTCGAATCGATCTTTGACGAATATCTCGGAATTGAGGGGTGATATCGAAATTTTCGTCATGACCTTTTTTGTAGAACTAATTGAGAACTGGGGAAAAGGTAATTATAAAGATTTTTGTATCTGTGCTAGATTCGGAGATATTTGGGGAAAATCAGTCGAGTCGGGTGAAAATAGAAAAATTATGGAAAAATAGCAATAAATTGCGCTGTATTTTAATTACCGAAGCTAAATGATTAACCCACGGGTATTTCGCAACGGAAATGTTGGGACTATTGTCAACGCGATTCAGCTGAAAGTAACGGTTGATTTTTGGTAGGGGGAGACAGTGGGCTTTATTGATACGATATTAGACATGATTTAGATCGTCAATTCTCAACGCGTCTATTATTGGGCCCCGGCAATTTTTTTTCACTCGGTTTATTAAAGCTGAGTGTGATTTATGGTACGTTGACCAATCAGAATTCACACCGAGACAGATTTAAGGCGATCGAGACAATAAAAATGAATACAACTTTTGAATTGAAAACCATTAAGACCAGCGTAAAAATACAAAATGAATGTCGAAACTAGGGGGACTACAAGCGTAAAAATATAATCTCATTAAATTGCCTCTCATTGAAAATTTCCGACCCCAAATTCATATTCTGCGCCGATTTTCTTCTAGTCATACCGATCGCAAAACCAGCGCAGCGTTCGAATTATTTAAACAAATGACGGGACAAAATCGTTCAAAATCGTTTAAAATCGGTTGAAATCGGTTGAAATCGGTTAAAATCGGCCGTAAGTAATTACCATCCCAAAGAATTTTCCACTGAATTGATCGAATTATTCTCCATTAAACGGTTCAATAACCCATTTTATCATTGAATGGCTTGTAGATTTTAAAGGAGTGCCGTTTAATCGTCGCAAGCACAATCCGCCTATATTACCTGTTATATACCCACACCTCCCACCCACCCCCTTTTCCACCTTTAACTATTGGATTTTGTAATGAGCGAGGTAGAGGTAAAAAATGACAAAAGTACGAGTTTTGCGATCAATGAACAAGTTCAATAACCTTAAATCCACTTGACGGGCACAAGTGACTTGTGCACTACGTACCTAGACCAATTCCCCTGTCCCCTTGACTAAAACTAAAATAGATATCGACGTTTCCGTACGGCTACACTAGTACCGGAGTGAAGATATTAAAAGTTTCAAAAG